GTAGTTCATCACAGAAATCTGTTCTTGTGACTACTACACCAATTAGTGAGGAAGCTAATGATGATGATCATGTAACTTTAGATCAAGTTACTACCGAATCTCGTAGGTAAACCAGAGTGAGATCCGCACCAGAGTGGTACGGTAATCCTGTTCTGGAAGTCATGCTACTAGATCATGATGAACCTACGAACTATGAAGAAGCGATGGTGAGCCCAGATTCCGCAAAATGGCTTGAAGCCATGAAATCTGAGATGGGATCCATGTATGAGAACAAAGTATGGACTTTGGTTGACTTGCCCAATGATCGGCAAGCAATTGAGAATAAATGGATCTTCAAGAAGAAGACTGACACTGGCGGTAATATTACTGTCTACAAAGCTCGACTTGTCGCAAAAGGTTTTCGGCAAGTTCAAGGGATTGACTACGATGAGACCTTCTCACCCGTAGCGATGCTTAAGTCTGTCCGAATCATGTTAGCAATTGCCGCATTTTATGATTATGAAATTTGGCAGATGGATGTCAAAACTGCATTCCTGAATGGATTTCTGGAAGAAGAGTTGTATATGATGCAACCAGAAGGTTTTGTCGATCCAAAGGGAGCTAACAAAGTGTGCAAGCTCCAGCGATCCATTTATGGACTGGTGCAAGCCTCTCAGAGTTGCAATAAACATTTTGATAGTGTGATCAAAGCATTTGGTTTTATACAGACTTTTGGAGAAGCCTGTATTTACAAGAAAGTGAGTGGGAGCTCTGTAGCATTTCTGATATTATATGTGGATGACATACTACTAATTGGAAATGATATAGAATTTCTGGATAGCATAAAGGGATACTTGAATAAGAGTTTTTCAATGAAAGACCTCGGTGAAGCTGCTTACATATTGGGCATTAAGATCTATAGAGATAGATCAAGACGCTTAATTGGACTTTCACAAAGCACATACCTTGACAAAGTTTTGAAGAAGTTCAAAATGGATCAAGCAAAGAAAGGGTTCTTGCCTGTGTTACAAGGTGTGAAATTGAGTAAGACTCAATGTCCGACCACTGCAGAAGATAGAGAGAAAATGAAAGATGTTCCCTATGCTTCAACCATAGGCTCTATCATGTATGCAATGCTGTGTACCAGACCTGATGTGTGCCTTGCTATAAGTCTAGCAGGGAGGTACCAAAGTAATCCAGGAGTGGATCACTGGACAGTGGTCAAGAACATCCTGAAGTACCTAAAAAGGACTAAGGATATGTTTCTCGTGTATGGAGGTGACAAAGAGCTCATCGTAAACGGTTACGTTGATGCAAGCTTTGACACTAATCCGGACGATTCTAAATCGCAAACCGGATACGTGTTTACATTAAACGGTGGAGCTGTCAGTTGGTGCAGTTCTAAACAAAGCATCGTGGCGGGATCTACATGTGAAGCGGAGTACATAGCTGCTTCGGAAGCAGCAAATGAAGGAGTCTGGATGAAGGAGTTCATATCCGATCTAGGTGTCATACCTAGTGCATCGGGTCCAATGAAAATCTTTTGTGACAATACTGGTGCAATTTCCTTGGCAAAAGAATCCAGATTTCACAAGAGAACCAAGCACATCACGAGACGCTTCAATTCCATCCGGGATCAAGTCCGGGTGGGAGACATAGAGATTTGCAAGATACATACGGATCTGAATGTAGCAGACCCGTTGACTAAGCCTCTTCCACGAGCAAAATATGATCAACACCAAGGCTCCATGGGTGTTAGAATCATTACTGTGTAATCTAGATTATTGACTCTAGTGCAAGTGGTAGACTGAAGGAAATATGCCCTAGAGGCAATAATAAAGTTATTATTTATTTCCTTATATCATGATAAATGTTTATTATTCATGCTAGAATTGTATTAAACGGAAACATAATACATGTGTGAATACATAGACAAACAGAGTGTCACTAGTATGCCTCTACTTGACTAGCTCGTTAATCAAAGATGGTTATGTTTCCTAACCATGGATAAAGAGTTGTTATTTGATTAACGGGATCACATCATTGGATGAATGATCTGATTGACATGACCCATTCCATTAGCTTAGTACCCGATCGTTTAGTATGTTGCCATTGCTTTCTTCATGACTTATACATGTTCCTATGACTATGAGATTATGCAACTCCCGTTTGCCGGAGGAACGCTTTGTGTGCTACCAAACGTCACAACGTAACTGGGTGATTATAAAGGTGCTCTACAGGTGTCTCCAAAGGTACATGTTGGGTTGGCGTATTTCGAGATTAGGATTTGTCACTCCGATTGTCGGAGAGGTATCTCTGGGCCCTCTCGGTAATGCACATCACATAAGCCTTGCAAGCATTGTAACTAATGAATTAGTTGTTAGATGATGTATTACGGAACGAGTAAAGAGACTTGCTGGTAACGAGATTGAACTAGGTATTGAGATACCGACGATCGAATCTCGGGTAAGTAACATACCGATGACAAAGGGAACAACGTATGTTGTTATGCGGTCTGACCGATAAAGATCTTCGTAGAATATGTGGGAGCCAATATGAGCATCCAGGTTCCGCTATTGGTTATTGACTGGAGACGTGTCTCAGTCATGTCTACATTGTTCTTGAATCCGTAGGGTCCACACGCTGAAGGTTTCGATGATAGTTATATTATGAGTTTATGCATTTTGATGTACGGAAGTTTGTTCGGAGCCCGGATGTGATCACGGACATGACGAGGAGTCTCGAAATGGTCGAGACATAAAGATTGATATATTGGAAGCCTATATTTGGATATCGGAAGTGTTCCGGGTGAAATCGGGATTTTACCGGAGTACCGGGAGGTTACCGGAACCCCCCGGGAGGTATATGGGCCTTAGTGGGCTTTAGTGGAAGAGAGGAGAGGTGGCCAGGGCTGGTCCGCGCGCCCCTCCCCCCCTAGTCCGAATAGGACAAGGAGAGGGGGCCGGCGCCCCCTTCCTTCTTTCTCTCCTCTTTCCCCCCTCCCGAATCCTATTCCAACTAGGAAAGGGGGGGAATCCTACTCCCGGAGGGAGTAGGACTCCTCCTGGCGCGCCCTCTCCTGGCCGGCCGCACCCCCCCCCTTGATCCTTTATATACGGAGGCAGAGGGCACCCCTAGAGACACAAGTTGATCCACGTGATCATATTCTTAGCCGTGAGCGGTGCCCCCTTCCACCATAGTCCTCGATAATATTGTAGCGGTGCTTAGGCGAAGCCCTGCGACGGTAGTACATCAAGATCGTCACCATGCTGTCGTGCTGACGGAACTCTTCCCCGACACTTTGCTGGATCGGAGTCCGGGGATCGTCATCGAGCTGAACGTGTGCCAAGAACTCGGAGGTGCCGGAGTAACGGTGCTTGGATCGGTCGGATCGGGAAGATGTACGAGTACTTCCTCTACATTGCGTCAACGCTTCGCTTCGGTCTACGAGGGTACGTAGACAACACTCTCCCCTCTCGTTGCTATGCATCACCATGATCTTGCGTGTGCGTAGGATTTTTTTTTTGAAATTACTACGTTCCAACAGCATGTGCCAGGGCTAAGGAGGAATCTAATTTCGCTTGGTGTTCTTCATGATGGTGGTATGAAATTCCGTTTTGATTAGAATAAGAAGACCATGAAAATCATGGAAGATGGGGTGACCGTGATGATAGGAGAGAGGACGGATTCGCATCTTTACAAGTTGCAAGGGAGCACTATTGCAGGTGGAGCCATAGAGAATGGAGCTGCAAGAGTAGCAGTGGAGTCTCACGGTGGCGGCGGGTCTGGCCCATTGGGTAGCTCTCAGTAGGCTACAAAGAAGACAACCCAAGTCCGGAGTACATGAAGGTTCGAGCATGGATGACTTCTAGATGATGGAGGATATTCGTCAAGGTGGAGTTTGTTATATTTGTGTCGAATATATTATGTACGCAAGGGGTTACGTGGACTTAGAGTTGTAATTGGTGTGGTTAGGTACGCGTTGTATAGGAGTCGGACACTTGTATTCTAGGCCTCTTATATATGAAGGGGCACCACACGTTATAACCTATGATGACGACTTGATAGCAACAGGTACGCGGGGGAGCCGATGGCTTGTGCCGGCGCTCGGACGGCCAGTGTTGCGGTATCTTGGGGAGGAGCGTCAATAGTCATGCCTCGGAGATGTAGCCATATCGGTGAACCTCGTTAACAAATATCGTGCCTCGATGTGTCGTCTATGATCTTGAATTAGTGTTTTATTCTAACAGTTTTTGTGCTATTCTTTCACATTTTATTTGTGCACATTATTTATTAAAAAACTTATTATTCTAGCGAAACAGCAATGGGCCTGGCAACACGCGCCATCAACGATCTACTAGTACTACCTACTAGTAATTATAGACGAACAATTTTGCTATGTCTTAGTCGACTGAGGCTAATTATGTCTCAATCAACGTTATATGTCATTGATCTTGCATGAAGATCGATGTAAAATTTTCTTTTTAGTTTTTCTTTTCTCTTTTTTATATAGGAGTACTATGTCACTAGATTGAAACTTGGGCTAAGTCTTAGTTGACTAAGACCTAGCTGCACCCACAGACGAACCCTAAAAAAAAGTAATTATGGACGTGGCGCCACCGTGCGAGACATCCAGCCGTGCATGCCGCACGTTGGCCTTGTCCCCGCGTTCCCTGCACCCAGTCAACCCGGATGGACTTGTACCTCTCCGCACGTCCATTTCCATTCCCTTGGATGCCAGAGAGGTCGTGACTCGTGAGTGTTCTTCTCCCCCCGCCAATTGGCACCCTTCACTCCCTCCCCTCCTCATCTCTCGTTGCCACAGCTCCTGAATTTGTAATGCTGTGCTACACTTGTCGCCGCATTAGTTGGTGTCACGATGGAGGAATTAAGAAGGCCATAAGCCGGCGGCGCCATTGCTCCTGTCCCCTATAGCCAGCTAGCTCGGTTTCTCGCCGCACCGCCTCTGCTCTTGCTCTGCCGGCTGCTCAGCTCCATCGATCTCTGCCTGGTGTTCCGAGATGAACGACCTCTTCTCGTCGAGCTCGTTCAAGAAGTATGCCGACCTGAAGGACCAGGTGGCGCTGGACGAGATGGAGGCCGGCAGCGGCAGCGAGAGCGCCAACCTCGACAAGTTCTTCGAGGACGTGGAGGGCGTCAAGGAGGACATCAGCGGCCTCGAGTCCATGCACCGCCGGCTGCAGTCGGTGAACGAGGAGAGCAAGACCGCACACGACGCCCGCGCCGTCAAGTCGCTCCGCGCCCGCATGGACGGCGACGTCGTGCAGGTCCTCCGCCGCGCTAAGGTCGTCAAGGCTAAGCTCGAGGCCCTCGACCGCGCCAACGCCGCCAGCCGTAAGCTCCCCGGCTGCGGCGCCGGCTCCTCCACCGACCGCACCCGCTCCTCCGTCGTCTCCGGCCTCGGCAACAAGCTCAAGGACCTCATGGACGACTTCCAGGTAAAACATTGAGTTTTCTTGGTTCATTGCCTCGCCCCGCGCGAGCCAGCTACCTGACCGGAGAGAGCGCAGGGCCTTCGGACGCGGATGGCGGCGGAGTACAAGGAGACGGTGGCGCGGCGGTACTACACGGTGACGGGTGAGACGGCGGAGGAGAGCACGATCGAGGCGCTCATCGCGTCGGGGGAGAGCGAGACGTTCCTGCAGAAGGCGATCCAGCGGGACCAAGGGCGCGGGCAGGTGATGGCCACGGTGTCGGAGATCCAGGAGCGGCACGACGCCGTGAAGGACATCGAGCGCAGCCTGCTGGAGCTGCACCAGGTGTTCCTGGACATGGCGGCGCTGGTGGAGGCGCAGGCCCACCAGCTCAACAACATCGAGACCCACGTCGCGCGCGCCAGCTCCTTCGTGATCAGGGGCACCGTGGAGCTCGAGTCCGCGCGCGTCTACCAGAAGAGCAGCCGCAAGTGGGCCTGCATAGCCGTCGTCGCCGGCGCCGTGCTCGTCCTCGTCATCGTGCTGCCGATACTCGTCAACCTCAAGCTCTTGAGCGGCAGATAGATGCAGCATGGCGCGCGGTGAATTGGTTGATCGATGACGTATCCGTTCGCCTCCATCGATCTCTTCTTCCGCGCTGCATGTTCTTGATGTATGTGTTGTCTCGTTCCTTTGGATTGAGATGGGGATTCTTTTATCATAGTTAGCCTTTCGATTTGATCTAAAAAATGGAAAACTTGTCATGGATCAGATCAGAAGTGTTACTTTAGGATGGTTATTATCTGTTATATCAAATATTTAAGAGTGAATTCCATTTTTTACCTTGTAGTTGTACATTTGTGACACATATTACCCTATTTAGCGGAACTTTTATCGAAGTGTCAGATTTTGGAGACTTTTAACACGGTTTTACCCTAATTTTACATTTGTCTGTTTATGGTCGATAGGATCGGCATGTTGCGTCATTGATTTGTAAAAAAAACTGTAAGGATCGGATGGCATCATTGGCGATCTTGTCCAAGCTTCTCTTGTCTATCTGTTTCACTCCTTCTGGCCGTCCACATGTTTTTGGATATAGGGCGTCACCTCACACCTTACCTGATGGACACGCATCAAAAAACAAGGGTCCAAAGATTTCAAAAGGGGTATTCTAGACGAATTTTCACTCGAAGGGGTAATTAGTGTCACAAATGTATAAATATGGGGTAAAAAGTGGAATTCACTCAATATTTAAATTCCCTCTTGAGCCGGTTGTGCGAGAAGTATGGCCGGCCGGCATCCTTGTGGATTGATTCACGACGAGGGCGACAACGTGCAGGTCATGCTGTGTTCGTGACCTCAATTTCATTCTCGAATCTAACTATCTAGGGGCAGGTTCCTCCACAAATACAGTATGGTAGAGTAATACAAGAAAGCACCTTGGCGTAAGGCTACGCTGGCAGATCCCATGTATACATGCGGCGTGGTAGATTTGGCAGTTTGGAATTGACGACCGTGACGGTGAGAGCATTTCTTCTCGAGGTTTTAGAAACAACTAGATGACCAGTTGCGCCAATGGCGCAAAGGCCGAGAGCAAGTCATGTATTGAAAGAGTATACATTAATATTATTCCGGCACATATTAAAGTGATAAACATTAGACAGAGTCATCGCTGCACGTTTGACCATGGCGTAAAAAGCAAGAGCGAGCCAAGCATTCAAAGCATGTGTATGAGATTGATTTTGAATCAACTTAAAGATACTTATATTCCATTACATGAAAGCTTGATGCTTAAAAGAAATAATCAGATCACTTGGTAATAGCATACATTGGCATTAAAAGACAGGCTATATTAGCATAAATGGATGGTGCAAAGGCCGAGAGCAAGCCATGTATTGAAAGAGTGTACATTGAAGATGACTTTATCATCTAAGCAGCACTTAATGGTGGGTTTGTTTGGTGGACTGTCATTGCCCAAAGCACAAATGCGTTCCATACCATCGTCCTCCCCAATAATACTTATTTATTTCCTATAGAATGTCCTATGATTGTAAAGTTGCATCGTCAAGATAATCTCCAACATATCTTATCTATGATAGGGTATGGTTCAGATCTAAAGAAAAACAACAGAGAAGCAACGCCTGCAGAAGAGTTCAGATAGTTACATAACACCTTAGTACCTTACTGGGCATTCCAGTGTTCGTGTGCAAACACACTAATAAACAAAATGTCCAGTGAAAGATGCGAGCCACTTTGCTAATCACATAGTCATTGAATGGAGTAGCAACCAATCCTTTTAGTCTGCTAGTAGATATGCGTCAACAGTTATGATTCTTTTTGTACATCTCCCTTTGAAGCATTAGCACAAGATTGAGAAATAGAACCATATTTTCTTAGCGCTTTGAACCCTGATTTCAGAATGATTATCAAAAATACAAATGTCTAGAGACAACAACAGAATGAACACAAAACAGTTCAGTATTAATGGAGGCTTCTCTACTTAAATCAGGACAAATCCAAATCAAATATATAGAGATAATACAAAGACCAAACTCCATGGCTATTGTTTCAATGCACAGTAAGCTGTATCTTTTATAAAATAGTGTCCCGATACAACTGGTAAGGAACAATTTGGTTCCAAGTACACAAGTAAAGGAAAAGGTAACATTCTTATTTTTGAGATATTAACAATAGTTTCTACAAAAGACTTATATATACCTAAGTACAGGAGGTACCTAGTTTCTACAAAAGGTTAGAGGAACTACATCTTCAAAAAAAAAAGCTAGAGGAACTAAAGCACAACTATCCATTGCTCCAAAGTAGAAATTAGAGATATAAAAACATTATTCTTTGGGTGGAATATTAATCAAAGCAACAATATGCAAAAGTAAACAAAAAAATACGTCACCGCGCATTCAGCTGAGCTCACCCCCTTGAACTTGCAAGATGTGTGGGAATCCCACAAGAATGAAAGGCCTCATAGATATCCTCCCTGCTGAATCTGGTGCCAGCATCAGCAAGTTCCTCACACTAAAATCAAGTGTCGTCCTGAGATTATGAACACCAAGGGATAACAGGAGAGAATAAAAGCAACAGGAAGAGGAAAAGCCACTGCAGCAGCACCGTAACGGATGTAGACGGCGACAACAACGAGGCGTACTCGACCTCAACCACCGGTTCCGACGTCAACCATCTCCATCTCTTGCGGTGTGGAGGCAGCCCAACATCCACTATTATTTGCAACAAACCTTAACTGGCCAGCATCTAAAATAATTGCCATATCGGCAAGGAAGGAACGACCAACACAAAGACACATTAGTTTGTCCATACACACACATATAAAATAAAACAAGCTGAGAAGGAATTAACAAGCTATAGAAGTACATGTCGCCATTCAAAGAAAAGAACTGCCTAGCAGATAGAACCAAAGATGCATGGGCGGGCAAAAAAAAATTGAATCTCGAATCAGACAAACCTGTCTGGTAGACGATGATGTTAGAACCAACAGCGAGCAAGACCTGCAAAATAATAGATCAAGCCTACACATCAGCCCATGCTCAAAGAAGCTAGAACAACTGGGAAAAGGCAGATTGAGGAAGGGGAAAGGGAAACACAACGTCTGAGGAGAATGGATACGGCAGCGCCATCCTCTCCTCAACTGAGACTTCTCCATGAGCCGGATGGTGGGGTTACGACAGCAGCGAAGCAGAGGAAGGGAGCCAGGGAGGGGATGTGAGAAACTACCTTTGCCATGAGGAGTCACAGGTCGTCCTTGTCACCTATCCCGCTCCGCCGCGGACCTGCGTCTCCGGTGCTGATGCCTCACCACCGCCCATGATGTTACAACCAACAGCGAGCAAGACCTGCAAAATAATAGATCAAGCCTACACATCAGCCCATGCTCAAAGAAGCGAGAACAACTGGGAAAAGGCAGATTGAGGAAGGGGAAAGGGAAACACAACGTCTGAGGAGAATGGATACGGCAGCGCCACCCTCTCCTCAACTGAGACTTCTCCATGAGCCGGATGGTGGGGTTACGGCAGCAGCGAAGCAGAGGAAGGGAGCCAGGGAGGGGATGCGAGAAACTATCTTTGCCATGAGGAGTCACAGGTCGTCCTTGTCACCTATCCCGCTCCGCCGCGGACCTGCGTCTCCGGTGCTGATGCCTCACCACCGCGCACCCTCGTTCCCATCTGCATTTTCTTTCATGAAAGCACAATGGTACATCTCGGTGGCATCTAAGATAACATGAACAACCTCTGTAAAAGAGGCAGCAAAGCATGCATCCTAGTTAGCACCATAAGGTTACCGGTTCACGCCAAAAAGGGCTCCGTCAGGTCACCGGTCACAAGAGAGTTGGCCCTTGCAGTTCCTTTGATGAGAAGTTCCTGTTGAAACAAAAATACAAACACATGTAAGATTGGTTGCGATCGCGCAAACCACCTTTCAGATGCAAAGGCTCTATGCATGAGTAACAAAATTATCTGAATTCAAATGACATTAAAATATTCCGAGAGACCAAAATGTCAGCAATAAAGAGGAAAAAAATAGCAGGTCACCACCATCAAGATTCAAATGGCACTTACATCACACTACGACATGGTTACCATCCACTGATTTCCATCAAAACCATTCCCAAACATATAAATTCCTCTACAGGTCTCCTTATCTTTAGTCAAATCTACATCCACTAATTACTGGAGATCTTCTATTGCTTGATTATCTTTGGTTGTTGTTGTACTGTCAGGATCACCACGAACAACAGGATCTTTGGTTGTTGCTCTATATGATGATCTCACCGGGAATTTCCGGTCTTCAACAACCAAATGAATTCTTACTGTTAGGATCACCACGAACAACACCATAAAATGAAACTACATTTGGCTGGTGAAATGAGTCGAGGATCTGTGCGTCTTTCCAGAAATCCGCTATTTGCAAATAGATCAGAACTCAAATCCGAACTCTTTTCACCGCTTCTTAAATAAAAAATAAAAAATGAAGCTCATCTCATTGGCTCCTCTCACAAAGAGTACTCAGTTTCAAAAATAACTGAATAAGGAAGCAACCAGCAACAGGTAGTAGCACATGGCAGCAACACAAGCAACAGCAACAGCCAGTAGCACATCGCGGCAGCACAAGCAGCAGCAGAACCAGAACAAAAGAGCACTAAAGATTGAACACATGTATAACAAGCAGCACACACATCTAGGCATCTAGCAGCATAAGTAGTAGTCGTAGCCCGCAAAGCAACAACACAAGCACACAACATTAAGCAAACAAGGGAAAGACTCACCCTCTTCTTTTCAAAGAATTCGCAATCCAAATAAGCGAACAACCATGGGGTCCCTTTATTAGTTATTTTGCAGCCTGCAGAATCAAATTGAAACGACGAGCGTTGCATTAAAGGAAAAAATCAACAACGGTTCATGGGTTAATGAGTCACCTTCGTGGTAGGCTATCTAAAAGCAAAATCAATCATTTACTATTATCAACGAAGGGAGAACAACTGCAGATCTGGATCGTTATAGATTTGAGAAATACCTGCTCAGGTAGATTGTTAGTAGCCGATGTAGGAGCTGGGGAAA